GTATCCTGATAGGGACGCAAATTCTATGATTGTCATGACGCCTGAATATCTAGATGCACATCTGCATGCAGGGTATGCGATTCCACGCATGCAATACCACATTTTTAATTTTTAAAGACAATTTTGGACATAGATTTGGCAAGCCTTAAGTGAATGTTTGCTTCAAATACAAAGAGCTTGGAGCAAAAATTAAGACTACACTTTTGTGTAACAGCGATAAACGTGCGGCAAAGACTTAATTTTATATTCACAAAACAAAAAAGAGATGATAATTTTTATAAATTAGTTCAAGAAGCTAGAGAGAATTGAGCCATGTGATTGTCCTTTTCGTTGGATAAATTACTGTTCTAAACAAATATATTTCTAAATAGTATTACGTAAAATGTAATGCATTTATGATTTCGGTACCCAGCTTTCTTTAGACTCGATTCTGACACTGAGGAGAAAGGAAACAACAATTCAACCTAAATACGGATCACATAAAATTTATTTAGTAGAAAGTACATTAAAAACAATTTAGTGCTGTCACAGTGAATTCACACAGAAAAAATGGGCAGGATAAAATAACACGTATGAGTATTATTATTTAATGTTTCCTTCCTTCTGAAAAGTTCTGAAAAGCAAGAAATGACTTATTCCCTTTCTCCTCAGTCCGATTCAAATAGTTATTTGTGCATCTTCGAATTTTATTGACATTTAGATAACAAACAAAAATTTGACTATTTTAGATTAATGTTCATTCAAATTTTATCAATATTTGAATTGATTTTTTATCTATATTTGAATAGTACAGTCAATCATCAACGTAGACCCTGATAACCAACACACCATTCCTAAAGTGAAACTCATTACTGAGATTCACGACACTTCCAAGTGATTGTTGATTGTGAGGCATACATATTGACAATTCCTACTAGCGCACTGACGTCTACTGATGTACACGATGTTTAGATCGTGTTATTTACATCTTGGTAAGAAGAGTTTTGTGAAATCGTGAATATAATTTTCAAAGTGTATATAAAAGACCAAAAAAGTACGCTTTTAGAGATTGGTTGCGTAGGCTTTATCTTTCGAGGTAGCTATTTGCTCTCATATTGTTGCGAATTGCCCTCCATTTAGAAATGCAATGACCTACTTCAAAAATAAAACTAATGTTGTTCAATAATACTCTCGGAAAGTCTCTAATGTAACGAAAGTTTTAATATTAAATGTTTCAAAAATAGATTTGTTTAGGTTACATACTATTTAAAAAAACAACTCTCTTCGGAATCTAATACTGTACGCCGATCGTGTTCGGTAAGGTACATATAGCGGTAAGAAAGAACTGGGACATGTACTAAATATTAATTTTATATTTTCTTGATATGTTATTGCCTTAGATACGGAGCTCGATGTACACTGAATTATATCTTTCAGGGTTGCTAGGTATGTTACGAGCTCTTTCCCCATCACTAGAACAAAATTTCCCCACATAACCTCTCCAATGAAACAAAATTCCTCAACTTTAAAACGAAGAAAATATTCTCCAAATAATGGACGAATGCCTTGAGCTTCTTCGACGATTCCATTGGTTCTTCCCTTAAATTTAAATAATCCAATTCAAGCAGTCATCGCCCTTTAAGCTGATCGAAGTCTCAGAACTGTCTTCGTTTTACTAATGGTTTTCTTTCTCTATGCCTGCCGCTCATTTTTATCTTTTTGATACATAAAAATGAGAGAGATACGACTATTGTTTTTTTTTTTTTTTTCAATCATAATAATTGAGAGAATATTTGACTCCATGAGAAAATAATTTCCCCTCAAAAATACCCAAACATTTCCCGCCTGTTCATGTTCCCAATTCTTTCCCCACAACAAAGAAAAATCCCCATTTTGGGGAAAAATTCCCCAATCCGACAACCCACACATTTTTCCACCATGCACTGAATATCTTACATGGATCGAGAGGATCGTGGTTACGAGGAAAATATGAAAACAATTGAATGATGCTGCATGTTCTCTTATGGAGGGAAAATGAAAAGACAAACCGAGTCAAGTTAACATATATTTAATTAGTAAATAAGTCGAAATCATTAAATTAGGAAAAAGTAAAATACTGTATGCACCACGGGAGTTAAATGGTTCTGATAATCTCGCCCAACAAAACGAGGGCCTTTGTCCCTCGCGCGTTTTACCATGTGATCTTTAGAATTATCACTTATGGCCCTGGCGTATAAATAACTATTGAAATCAATTTTAGAATTATGTCAAATGTGAAAGTCCGCCCCCTTTGGGAGTCTGGCCGGCCCCCTTCGGTTAGGGAGAATGAAGGACCTGCATTGTCAAATTGGCACAAAAAGTTTTGCATTCGAACAGTGCTTTTGTAACGAAATATAAACGTTAGATAGATCGTACTTTACCTACAATTTTTAGATGTCTTCTTTTAATGTCTTGCTTTCTTTTAACAGAATTTAGCAGCCGAAATTAGAAATCTCCGGAATAGTTGACGCAAATAAGTAAAGTTAAGAAATTCTTCCATATTTTCATACCTTTTTGGAACATTGAAAGATCTTATTTTAACATTTTTTTATATTTTACTAGTGATAATAAACATTTTATTTTCCATAATTATTGTATTCGTAAGTGTAATGTTGTTTTGTCGTTTTCTTATTACGTGTATGTTGATGATGTAAAGTTAGTCTACTCTGGCAAGATTTTTAAAATTCGAAATATTATCAACGTTACAGTTGTTCAATAAATTCCAATTCTCATACCTGGTAAGAAAATTAGTATGTAGTAAAATGATGGCTGTTTTCATTTAAAAAGCTGTTTTTAATTCAAGTATTACATTATAAAGGACATCATGTATAAACTTCTGTTGTAGATTGCAGCATAAATTGTTTTCATAAATGTCAAGCCCACCTCACAAACCCAAACGAATAAATTGTGAATATAGTAAAAAATCTCTTTTGTTATGATCGCAACTTGGGGCCACTAAAAACAAGTAAAAATTCCTATTTTAAGAACGTAGCGACTTCATTTTGGAAGACCTCACTTTCCCTTACAATTTTTGACAAATCTTTACAGAATAACTTTTCTTGGACAATTTTAAATCACCTCAGTCAATGATGAAAATAACATTTATGTGAAAAGAGGCATCTAATTTTGCAAATACAATTTTTTTATACCAATATTCATAATACGTAATAGTTCCTATATATTTATGCAAATTTAAATATTTAGTAGATTAATTAATATAGTATACATATTTTGGAAAATTCGTATATCCTATCGTATTTTTTCAAATTATTCACGAATAAACTTTGGCGTTGAAAATTTTAGGCATCAATATTGAAATAGCAATCAAATGAAATACTTTTGAAAATTTAATTAAATCTAAAAAAAATAGTAGAATATTCTTTAAAATATCTATACAAAAAAAAACTTACGATCTAAATCCTTATTGAAGATTTGGCCTATTCCTTGGAAATTGTCCTTCCATGAATGCAGAAAGCTGAAGATTTTCTCTCGAATAGGAGCCATTTATCAATCACTATGTTACAAATGATACAACACTATTCTAACACTATACAACACTATACCAGCAATCACTATGTTACAAATGATACTCTGCTACGTATACTTAATACATCACTTTTTCATGAGACTGCTCTTACAGCTTCCCACCACGCAATGGTCGGTATGCCGGGGAGGAAAAAAACATTTGAGCGCGAAAAAGATGCATGTTGAAGGATCAGATCCCATACCGTACCTTCTGGATCACATCTTATTTAGTTTGAAACCAATTCACATCTCGTCTCTTTAATTTCTGGCATACACTGAAAAGTACAATAATAACTGTCATGTTTAATATCGTCAAATTTCCTTTCGCATGTTGTTAATCGAAATTAAGGATTACACTTTCAGTTTATATTCGATTGTAATTTGATGAAAATAATGGCGTTACATGCTGATTTTTACGCAACAGATATATCATTCAATTTTCTTCAAATATAAATTCATTATCGTGAAATTAAAAACGAGAATTGAACGTTCGAAATACAGTTCTAACATACATTAATCAATTAAATAATTAAATTATAAATAAGAATAGGTTTCAAAAGAGTACATTCTGGTCTGTGTTAACACTTGTACGAATAGTGGGTTTACCTAAAGTTTTTAAACACGTAATGAAATAAACCGTTTTCCGTGTCACTAATAATTTTTTAAACTAATAAAAGTATGAAGAAGAATTATGCAATATCGTACGCAAATGAAGGATTTAGTAATAAAAAAAACACAAAATAGAACAATGTAATGAATGAACTTTATATACACAGCGAATCTTCCTTGCCTTCAAAAATATTTCAAAGTATTGTAACTTAAATTTATAAAATAACTAGTAGTAATTTCCAGTAGGAACGGAACTCGTAATATTTTTAAATCCAGTTATATTAAGGGGACCAATAGTTTTCAATGAAAAGGAGGACGAAAAATATTAAGAAAGAAGTACAACGTAAATAAATTAAACATTTTATTAAATCACACAATAATCACTAATTATGCTTACATTCCTTTTAATTATGTAATTAAACGAACATTTTTGTATTGAATTAATATTTTTTGTCAATATATCATTTTCCAATAATATATTGAAAATTTCAGAACAAGAAATATCCTTCATCTTGAATTTTACGGAAAGTGCTACAGTTAAGAGTAGCAACATTTAATATTAATTTCTCGCGTGTCCAAAAATCTGAAATACTGAATCTAGTGAAAACGGCGAGAATTCTGCTGATCTAGCAACGCTAATGGCATCTTTCCGAACTGTACCGTCACAAGATGCGTAACATTTCGGCGTGGCATCTCTGAATACAGAAATTAACATATTAGTTTTAAAATATGGAAAAGGAGGACGCTTTTCGAGGAAGGACAGATCCTACAAAAGGACTGTCCATCCCAAAGGAGAACGAGTGGTCACCTTAGTAATATGCTAATACCGTATAAACATTTTTCCAATTTCTTTTACAAAACAATGAAGGTCACAAATTGAGTCGTGATCGCGCCTGGTCTTATTCCCCCAAGAAGAAATTTCATTTAAATTTGTCGGCAGCGGCGTCGGCAACGTTCCATCAACAATTCAAACAAACACGCAGCGCCGGCTCCGTACACCCCTGCCTGCAACAGAGCCAACGGCCACGCCAACTGCGCCAGAGCCAGCGCCTTGGTCTGCTTGGGGCTCGCGGTGCCGTCAACCCGTTCGCCTCCATGCGGTGGCGCTGCGCCCGAGCCCACTGGGCATACAAGCCCGCCTGTAGCACGCGCAACACGAAACTGTTAAGCGATTCGCGGGAAGGAGAGCCCTTGGGCACGACGAACGCCAAGTGGCCGGGGCAATGCACGCACTCGGGCACGCGGTAAAGGGCCCTTGCGCCGCCCGCCGTCAAGTTCTTGCTGCGAGCCACAGCTTCGTACCGCTGCGCCGTCATGAAGTACCCGTCCAAACCATGCGTGGCAATGCTGTTAATTCGTTCGTTTCTATCGTCGGACGACTTGATTTTCAGCTTTCCTATCAGATCGCGCAGGACGCCGGCTTGGTCGTAGTGTTCGAACACGTCGCGGAGGCTGCTGCTGATGTACACGCTCCTGAGCAGACGGGAGGCTTCCGCCAAGGAAAGCGGGTCCGTGGGTCGGGAGGTGGCCGGCCGCCAGGCAGCCCAACAGCTGGCCCGAGTACGCGTGGCCCAGCACCGTCGCGAAAAGCAACATGGCGGCGAGCACCAGGCGCTGAGCGGACGTGCGCGCGGGGCGGCTGCAGATGCCGGTGAGGGACGTCTGGACGGCGTCCAAAACAGCGCGACCCCATGTGGAGTCGCATTCAATTACTCCGACACCTAAAACAACTTCATTTTGTCAGTTAGTGATCACATGTGGTGATCGCTAGTGGTGTGACCAAACGTGCGACACCTGACAAGGCATATTAATTGAAAATATACTAGATGGAATGCTCGTAAGTTCAAAACACCGGAGTGCAGAGGAAAAGAGTACTCAGGCAATAAGGCATACAAAAGGGAAACGCAGGAAGTCATACTTATTTCATTGGAAGACTTCTTTGATTGACCTCATCCTGGCAAAATGCATTCAGCAGTTGCTTGATGGAAAGCGAACCTAGGCGTGCGCAGCCTAAAACACGAGAGGGGAAGAAATTCCTTTACCTCCTTTCCATTAATTTTTTTACTTACTTATGACAAATTGTACTGTTAAATAAATAAAACCTTTAAAAATGATAATCACATTGTTTCTTTACTGATAAAAGTAATACATACAATAGATTTTATATTAAACATTTTACAGAATTACTGATTGATGAGCCTTTTTACAAAATGTCGCAAAACCAATCTTCAAATTATTTGTAAAGTTAAATAGGGGGAAAATCAAGAATTGAATAGGCCTACATTGAAGAAAATAAAATATATTATCTCTAGAGCCCGGAAGTGCAGGCATTTATTTTACATGAAATAAGCAGAAAAAAAACATTTATTTTTATTAAAATAGGCATGCAAAACCCATTTATTCTTGCCAAAGTAGGGCGAAAAGGGGCAAAAGGCGAATAAATTATTGTAAAAGATCATATTTAAAATTTTTCACATATTTATTATATCTCTAAAATTTATATTTGCACTTCACGAGTAAGGAAACGATATTTTCTTGGTAATCTCGATTGCACATGACCATACGGTATGATGGCTACGAATTTGTTTCATTCGCAATGCTCTCTCTTCGAAATGCTGTTGGGTAAGTCTTTGAATCTTGAAATGGCATAACTGAAAACGGAATTATATTTTTCGTTCTTCGCATTTGTGTTATCGCCAGTCCAGATAACGGTATATCATACTCAGTAAGATGCCCTCAAAAGAGAGCAGAGGCCATACTCAAAAGTAGAATGGAATTCCCTGTGAGCGAACAAAATCTGTCGGTATCGTTATCTCAATATCATCAAAATCAAAAATCTTCACTGGTATTATCTTCCTTTTCATTTAAATTTTTAATATAGTCTCTGCTTCCACAGAAAGACAAAACACGGCCATGTCTTTGTGTTGTCCAGGCTTTCGGGAATACATCCAGCTTGATCGATATTGGTGCCAAGAGAAAAAAGGCAAAATAATAACGTACAAGGCACAAGTAATGAAAAATAATCAGGATATTTTGAACGCTAGTATCAAAACTGAAGTAATGTGGAATGTCGTAAAAACGACCACATCATCTTGGTTCTTAGTTGAGAATGTTGTTTTAAAGGATAACGAAAGATAAGCAAGTAATTCGGAAAAAGTGGCAAATCTATTCAACCAACGCTTTTCTAGAATTGCGGCTGAACTCATAACCACATCACTCTCAGAAAGTTTTCGACACGATGTTTATTTCCGAAACTTCTAACGAAATCGTGAGAATAGTCAGTAAACTAAGAATTTAAATTATCATTTGGTTTAGATGAATTTCCGGATTGTTAATTGAAAACGTATGCATTGTAAACGAATGCACATTAACAAATTCAGCACATGAACATAATTTGTAGTTATGCTGCCAGCGGTAGCCAAGCAGAAGCCGTCAAAGCGGTCCCTTCCTAGAGTAACCCTACACACGAGTAATTTCGGTAAGTGAAAGTTCCCACCATTATATTCACTGGCAAAAAGTAACATCTTTGTTTCATCTAAAAGTCCTAGAAGTTTGTAACATTTACTCTGAGACACTATTTTCTAGAGGAAGGCAATTTGAAGGCGTGCGAGTCCATTTTTGAAGCACACTACCCAACATGAGCGGACTTCTCCCCTGACTCACCGTCGTGGACGCTCGCCTTGGGCGGCAGAGATTCCGCGGGTCGTCGCCAGCGCTGTGCCACTCGCCAAGCGGTGGCCATCACCAGCAGCGTCACCCCCACGGCGAACCATCAGGCAGTAGGGCTGTTGCAGGCAGGTTGCAGGAGCGACGCGGTGTAGTCCGCGAACGCGTGGTTGTCCCGCGTGAAATACAGCGCGTTAAATGAGACGTCCGCCGACTTGTTCCGGATGTTCTCGATCACCCTGCTCAGAGATTTCTCTCGTTTGAAGAGCAGGCGACGGTTACTGCAGTGTTGGAAAAGTTGCAGTAAGAGAAAATCTGGGCCATCGTATATTTTCGTTACTTCTTTGCTATACCAGTAAAATCTCATTGTAGTTTCAACGTACGAAATTATGTAGATTTTGGATTCAATAAAACGACCCGGCGCTCGAATTTCCTGAAAGGAAGAGTCAGAAGCAACCTGACTATGATGAAATAGCATATCTCCTTCGTTGGTTTTCTGCTTGAAACCGTTCAACAAATCCGTACGAATTGAAAACGTTTTCTGAATGCCAAGTACTGAGAGACATAATAAAAGAGCCATAGAAGGCGCTGTACGTTTGTAGTACAGAGTCATGGTTACGAGGATTTTATAGATTTCTTATAAGTTATAACTTTTCTTATTTAATATTTTATACATTACACATGATTTTAAACAATATTTACATGGTATTTATTATCATAGGCAAACTGAAACATATATATTTGAATTAAACCGGAACGCTTTATTCAAATCACATTAGCACATCAGAGAAATCTGTTGAACACTATCTTACTTCAGTTTTCTGTTTCCTCACTTCCTAGTGTCGAAATGTTTTCATATTTACACGATTTAGAGTGCAGATACATGTTTTCCTAAAGAGAGCGCTTCCGAAGTTGCGTGATACATCTAGTTTCCTTATAGTGTTTTAAAAATGCATAGCATGCAATGTTCCCCGACGCATTACCTAAGGAATAAAAAACTCTTTTTGATCCCGCTATGTAAAAGAGAATATCCATCGACATTTTCACGCTGAGGAAGGAATAACATTTCAATTGCACATATTTTGTTGGCCGCTGAAGAAAAATAAGTCACGGAACGCGTAAATTGCTTAGGTTGCGAACAAAAATAAAAATGCACATAAATACGATAATGAAGAATATATCAGAAACTAATTACTATTGAAAGTGTTACGATTGCAACCTAGTACAGAATAAGTAGAATTTAAGGAAGTGCAATGAAGCGAAATCTTTAGATTACCTTAAAGAGTTTTTTTTTAAATATTCAAGATATGTACAACCGTGTGCATAAATAATTATATATTGATGAGTGAAAGATGTGAATGTGCAAACTTAAAATGAGCATAACCTACGGTTTAAGTAATAGCGATTACGTTGGTTGGTTGGTTGGTTGGTTGGTGATCCGGGCGCGACAACGGCTGTTATTAGTCCCGTAAGTGTATATCATGTTTTATACCCTCGCGCCTGCGCCTATTGTTCACAATTGTTGGAGAATATGTTTAGGAAGGCGCTGACAGGATAACGGTTTTTTATTCGTGTTGGAGTATAGTCTGTTGAGGCGAGGTTGTAGTGGCTGACGTGTGGTATAGAGTTGATATTTGAATAAAAGTTATTGGAGAGATGGGCTATGTGTTTAATGATAGAATTTATATTCAATTATTTTTGTAATTGTTTGTTGGATATAGACCATGGTGCATGAGTTGATAATCGGAGAAATGTATTTTGTATTATTTGCAGTTTATTTATGGTTGTGGCTGATGCGTTAGTCCATACGAGGCATGCGTATAACATTAATGGTCTGATTATTGATTTATATAATGTTATTATTATTATTATTTATTTAATGGGTAATTATTACAAACGAATTAGATTACCTGATCCTATGTGGCTACGCCGAAGGCCCTTAAGCCATTTCAATACCTACATCCTTTCGCGTTCTAATCTTTCGAATATATAATAAATTCTTATATAATGTTGTAGCATTGGCTATTGATAGTAAGCTTTTTGAGTTTATTAGAGGTTTTAATTGCGCTCTTTTGGATTTTGCTTGTTGGGTTTTGATTGTAATATGTGATTTCCTGTTCAGTTTTGTATCTACGTTTAGCCCAAGGTATTTGACTGTTTGACAGTCAGGAGTCCATGGAATTGTGTTGTTGTTGATTGTAAAGGGGGAGGGAGTGTAGAAGTGCTTTAGCGAAAATATTTTGGCAGTGGATTTTGTTGGATTTAGTTTAATTTTCCATATTGTTCACCAGTAATCTATTCTGTCTAGATGTTGTATTTTTTCACAAATGGTTTTAATTGATTGGCTGGATTTGTAAATTACTGTGTCGTCTCCAAATTGTGGTATGGTGGGTCTGCTTTGGAGTCGGAATACCTGACGAGTAAATATTAATTAGAGTTGGTGAAAGTGGGGAGCCTTGTGGTAGGCCTGCTTGTATTTTACGGAGATTTGAATTGTGCTTTTTTAATGTCACTGTGAATATTCTGTTAAAACAAATTATGATGTAGACCAGGTAGAGCGGTGTTCCTATTGATTGCAATTTGAATATTAAGCCTTGGTGCCATACTCTGCCAAAGGCTTGTGATATGACCAGGAAAGTTGCAATTGTGTGCTTTTTATCGTGGTATGCTGATTTCAGTGAGTCTAAGAAGTTGGTGTGAAGTGGAAAGTTGATTAATAACGCCAAACTGATGTTTGGGTATGTTTTGTGTTTTGTTAAAATAATTATTTAATCTTTGCAGAATTAATTTCTCTAGAATTTTTGACAAAGTTGACAACAAATTGATTGGTCTGTAACTTTCTGGGATACTGTGATTTTTATTTGGCTTTGGAATAGGAATATTTTTTTAGTTTTTTCAAAGTATTGGATAGTAACCAATTCTTAATATTGGTGGGGCGGGGGGGGGTCTCTACGAGCTTTTGGTAGTATGAACATTTTACTGATCTCGTGTCTGCGCGGTGCGAATCGTTACAGGTCTTACAAATAGAAGGGTTTTCTTTTGGGGGTCAATTTACAGAGTAATGATCTTTTGCGCAATAAATGTATGCTATTTTATGATTGCAGTTATTTCTAGTATCAGTCCTAAATCTAGATATCAGAGGCATTGGATAGGACCCTTGGCTTTTTGCCTTTTTTCTGGCTTGACAATCAGGTTAGAAATTTGATTAATTTGTAGTATACTGTCTATGCTTTGGCTACCGTCAGACGCGGCTGCCACTGCCGCGATGGGTATGTTGTCTTTATAAAGCCTGGTTACACTAATGAGCGATGGGCTTTTTCCCTTGAGACCTTGATGTATTTCTTCCTGAGTAATTGATGGATGAAGATTCTTAAAAACGATGGAAACATTTTTTTAGCTATGTCTTTTTATGTGTGGCATTTCCTGTTAGTGCTGATTAGATATTTTATTGCCAGCCTAAAGTCTGAAATAGTTTTAAAAAACACTTTGATTTTGTTATTGACAATGGTTGAAGTAAACTTGTTTGTTATTTTAATCTTAAGTTCTGTATTAATTCTGCAACATTCTGAATATGGGCTACAAAGATAGGTGGTATTTTAACATTCAAGTTGGTGTGGTCAATATTTTGTTCATTTACGAATAGAAACCTATTGTCCTCGGGATTTTTTGATTTTACACTCGTATTGGTACTGGTTCGATTCAGTTTCTTACTCTCGGTATCACTATTACTGACTGACCTTTTCTGCGCCTGAGCAGGTAGTGATGGTGGGGGTGGAAGCGACAGTAGTCCTCGCCGAGGCTGTCAGGGTTGATGTTGCCCTCGGTGCTGGTTGGAAGTGGCGTCGCTGCGAGGCCTCGCCGCTTGCTGGAATTGGCGACACTGGTGACACGACACCGTTGTGGACGATGCGCAGGGCTTCGGATATTGTCTGCCCTGTGTCTGGATTAATAGCATAAGCCATATACTTTTCCTTAACTAGTTGTGATGAGGAGCTATAGGGCTGTTTGAACACGAACACTATGCACAGAGTTCACTAATAGACGGCCGTGCCGGGGCTGTGGGGTTGTCAGCCCGGCGCGGAGCGATAACGACTGTGGTAAGCGGAAATAACTGCACTGTACCGTGGTCAAACGACGAATGATTTGGTGGGGTACTGCTCTGGCATTCGTCTGATTTTGATCGGAGAAAACGCGGAAAACTACCGATCAGGACAGTAGGACGCTAGAATTTTCTTCCAAACAGCGACAGAACTCGAAATAGCTATTTAGATAGTGTCGAAAATCCCGCTACCGCCGGGACTCTTACCTAGGACCCGGCCAGAGTCACTGCAGTGACATGAGTTCTCTGAGCCATCTTTTCCCATGTAACAGTTACAAAAAGGCCAGTCATTACTCCAAGTTCGACAAATTGTACGCACAATCTGTAGACTAAACAAATAAGAGATGCTACAACAGCACATACTCGCAATATTATCATATTATCGTTATGTAATACTATGCCACAATTTCTGACTTTCTTTACAGTCAAACCTTCTCATAAGGTAAGAACACGGGACACATAGAAATTTCCATTAAAGACAGTTTTCCGTTATTATCAGATTTTCAAAATTTACTTAGCTAAATAAAATGCACTTCTTCACAACATGATTAAATTTTATATATTCTTACTTTCTCGTATCCATACGTTTTTACGGAGTAATATATGTAGTATAGAGAAAGTTATGTAATACTACGGCACAAAACAGCGATTTTTAGACAGAAAACTCTTGTTTTTCTTCGTCGATCCCTGATTTACAAGAAGCCCTTGGGACAGTTTCAAAATTTTCTCAAAAATTCACCATGTCTTGATTAAACATTGCCCTTGGATATCATAGTAAACGCTTAAGAGAATGGTGCAGGTCTCATTTTAATTAAAATCCCTTATTTTTTCGAAAATTACAAAAATTCAAAATTTTTTGGTGTGTTCCTATTACTATAATATTGGAGATAGATATTTACTGTTAAATAAAATATATTGCTACAGATCTTGAAATATAATCACGCCCAAAATTTCGAAAATGTAAATGGTTTTCATGTAATTTTGCGCAAAATATAGGCAATTGAAAAAATAGAGAAAAATGTTTTTGTTAAAAACAGCTCAAATTTTAAAAAAAAATTCTACTCATATGTACGTAATATGGAACGGTAAAAAAATATGGCGCTAGTTCAATTTTCGCATATTGCTCGGTTTTTCGAAAATTGCAAAGAGTTAACATTTCAAAATTACAAAACTGATGATAGA